AGACAATTTAAAACAAATTATCTACATATTTTATACATATTATGACAAGGTCCGTATTTTTTTTCACTCAGTTCACCAACATGCTTGAAACCCAGAAGAGCTTTCAAGAATGACTTTTTCAGGCAAAGTTGAATACATCCTTGAAGAAGCTGAAACAAAGGCCGAGCATCCGACAGATGCTCCATCTCCATCTGGATATAAGCAGGCAATGGGAATAGATAACAAGAAAGATATTGTGCAATAATTAAAAAAATTAAGAAAAGATGTTGATAAGGTAACCTCTTAAGATAATCCTATCTGGTTTCTTTAATTTATGTTATGCAAATTATTTCTTTAACTCTTTCTATTTTAATACGTAGGTCGGTTCATACCTTGGAATATTCAAGAAAGAGGTATACCCAATTCTTGATTTTTAGTCTTCTTTAAAGAAGATATNTATCTTCTTTAAAGAAGACTAAAAATCAAGAATTGGGTATACCTCTTTCTTGAATATTCCAAGGTATGAACCGACCTACGTATTAAAATAGAAAGAGTTAAAGAAATAATTTGCATAACATAAATTAAAGAAACCAGATAGGATTATCTTAAGAGGTTACCTTATCAACATCTTTTCTTAATTTTTTTAATTATTGCACAATATCTTTCTTGTTATCTATTCCCATTGCCTGCTTATATCCAGATGGAGATGGAGCATCTGTCGGATGCTCGGCCTTTGTTTCAGCTTCTTCAAGGATGTATTCAACTTTGCCTGAAAAAGTNTTCTTTAGTTTTTTCAAGAACTAGGTAGCATTCGACTGCTACTCAATGATTCCATCAAGTCCGTATTACATGCAATAACAAATCAGCAGGATACGAACATTGATACTAAGGTTTCATTCGAAATATATTCATTTTGGACAATATTTTTTACCATGTTTATGTTTATAATAGCATTCATAAAGTACACAGCCTAACAAATTACAAAGAAAAGAACAAACAACAGAATCCAGGCAGCAGTGCTAAACCAGTGTTGGGCAGCAGCAGTAAAACATGTATTTTAACAATTTTAATACAATTTGATGATAAATAATCTATATTATATTTATATTATATCTACATATAGCCTAAATTACCAACAAATAATCTACATTATATTTCCAATTGTTGTCTTAGATACATGACAAATGTCTGGCATTCAAAATGAGAAGAATATTCTTGTACGTGTTGACTTATCTTCTCAATTTCAATGGGCATTGGAAGAAGAAACTGCATGTATAATTTAGTACATTTTATCTACATATTTCACAACACATATTACATCTGAGCTACAGGACAACATTTCAATAAATTTACTATAATTAAACTACAATATATCTACAATGTTATTTTTATTTATTATAAATGTTCTACAATTTTATTAAGTTGCACACATTTATTGTAACGGAGAAGGACACTATGCATGTGGACTCTCCAAAACAAGATGCAAAACTTGGCATACAAGAAGAGCATTTAAATGAGGAGAAGGAGACTATACCTTTGCAATCTCCCATTCAACAAGCAAATGTTATACAACAAGGAGACGATTGCAATGAAGATTTCACTGGTATTATATGTTACAATATAATTGTTGGAAAAAAATAACAGCTTTCATATAAGTTTCAGTTTTCTCAAAAGAACTAATGCAACCAACATACAATGTTGTTCTTTTGTTTTAAATTTTGTAGGTGAACCAGCCGACTACATCAATGTAGGTGATTCGCAATGACTCCAGGTCTGAAAAAAGGGTAGTAACACTTGATGATTTTGAGTTGCCATAGAAATTTTCACATATTGTTAAGTTCGGCGAGGTAAATGAAGATGAAACAACCCATGTGCATCAGGGAAGAACAAGGGTTCCTGGAAAGCATGTCAGATCTCCCTTTCTCCCTTATTTCAGTTCTGGGGGAAGCACTTCTGTTAGACCTCCTCCAATTTTCAACATCAAGCATCCATTTACTGGGGTTATTGGTGACGATGTTGATCCTGACTTGTTGGGAGAATTCAATAAATGGTTATATTTAGGTACCGATACGGTTTCAAAGAGGTTAGATTATATAATTTTTTCATATTATCCAGTGCATACAATTTATGGATTTCCAACTGAAACTACATAATAATTGTACTTGCTATGCCTTTAAATAGGAAGAAGGCGCCTTATACTTTAAAATATAACCAGCTTGATGTTTACCTATAATTCCGTATTTTTAGTACATTATTTATCTTACATTTTGGTGCTTTAATGCTAAATTATACTATATTTATACTTAATTGAGTTTATTTTATGTGTAGGTACTTTGAAAATAAAATTTTGGAGCAAAATGCACAAAACAATTGGAGAAGATGTAATTATTGAAGCATTAACGAAAAGAATCAAGGGAGAACTTACTTGGAAAAGCAGCACCTTTGGTTTTGATATTAAGAAGCTTGGAAAGAAAAGTTAGGTAGCCTAACACTACAAGGAATAAAAAAGTAGGCAACAAATTTGATTTAAAGAAGTAGCTGGGCAACGCGAGTCTCTCATCTCGCGTTTAAGCTCGCGAGGCACGGCTTGACGCGAGGTGTGTCGCGTGGCGACGTGCGAGTCCAGTTTTGAGCTCATTTTGTCTCCTTTTTAGTTTTGGATTGGGTTATTTTACCTAGGTTTTTACCCTACACATATAAATAGTCATTAAACACCATTTTAAGGGAGAGACCGACTTTGGACAGACTTTAGACGAAAGGAGAGCACAGAGCCGTCGTGGAGGTCGGAATTCATCAGATTCCATCTTTCGTCCATCAAACTTAGTAATCTTTACTTTTTCTTGATGATTTTTTATTTTGCTACCATGTCTATGTGGAGCTAAACTTCACGTTCTAGGGTTGTGGTTGTCATGAATATTGAAGTTTATTAATTATATTGTCGTTAATTCGAGTTATAATCTTTGGTTGTTTCTCTAATTCTGTGCATAATTGCTTAATTGTTTGGCCAACAGTTGAGTTCTATTTACTATCTATGCTATGGTTGAGAAAGCCGTGTTTAGATTAGAGTAGAATTGGAGGGAGCTTGTTTCTGAACCCGAGGCTTGGGGAAAGATTTCATGGTTATGATAGGAATATACCATCTTGGAGTGGAGAAAGTTGATAAAAAGGATTGGTTTTATACTTTGGCACATCCCGGACAAGTATTCAACAACACGGTGCACACATACCCTGATAGAATTTAATGATTAACTGTAGTATTCTATTATTTTAGAAATATGTAGATTTTTTGTTTGAAAATTGTAGTTAAATTGTATGAAGCATTGAGAAATAATGAAATATATTTTTTTTGCAGCACATTGATGTTATTTCATACTATTTGAGGAAGAGAGGAAAGTATGATCCTGAAAATAAAATACGGTTTACAACCACTAACTATATGTTCAAGACTTGAATTGAACAAATTTTTGAGAGGTGCATTAATGCTCCTGCCGATAAGAAGCTTGTTGTTGTCAAACCCCAGGACGTCGTAGCATAATATATATTGGGGTACCGATTACTTGCAAATATTGCATTGGACAAAGTTGATTTTGTGATTATGCCCATAAATATTGTGGAGAAATTTCATTGGTTGTTGGCTGTGTTTGACATCACCGATAGGATTCTATATGTTTATAATTCTATTGTCTCTTCACGAAATCACAAACTTGTTGAATCTTTTATCGACAAGTTTTCTATTATGATCCCCCGCTAATTGTCATGCACCGGCTTCTATGGAAAGCGTCCAGACATCAACTACAAGAACACAAAGGCATACGTTGAAAAAGGTATTACTAACTCTCTTGACATTCAGTGGTTGATCGGTGAGATACCCCAGCAAAAAAAAGGATCATTGTCTGTGCTCCTTTCCTTCTATCTATTTAACTAATTATATTTTACATTGAATGCTAAATCTTTTCCTCTATTATTTTTTGCAGTGATTGTGGTATATTCGTGGCGGCATTTTCAGAATATGTCAGCATTGGAGAGCTATCGATTTCAAAGGAAGAATATTGATCAACACCGTCAACGCTATGGGGCGCTCATTTGGGATTATGCTAGGAAAAAGCAAGAGCTTGGTGCAATTAGTGAAAGTGAGGTGACTGGAAGATTAACAAGAATAAAAGGTACACCAGCTATGAACGAGAGAACACAAGTCCGAAAAAATAAGAATTAGTTACCCTTTTCAGTAGAGAAATTGTAGTTATAGTGTTTAGATATAGCTGGATTGTAGTAAAGTTGTAGACAAATTATTTATTAAGAAGGAGTCAGATGCAATTTATTTGTTGCAGATTTGTGCTACAGTTGTTTTACCTTTTGTTTTGTTATTTTGTCTAGAATTTTACTACATAGAATAGAAAATATTTGTGGCTTATTTTTTGGTTGAAAGTTATTAGTACTTGATCTAGATATTGGTACTATATAATTTCTTTACATCATAAATACAATTATGTCTACAACTACAATACAAAGATACATAATCTATTCAATTTATCAGTGTTGTTAGGAAAGGCTGAAAGTAATAAATAAACCAAGTATTTGAATAAAACAACTACAAACCAATTGCATTAAGAGTTGAAATATGTTTAGCAAACATTCATTATAGGAGACAATCTTTATTCAAATTAGCAATACAATTACACCACAACTATAATTCTCTAGAACAGAACAAATACAACTTCATATGTCTTAAAGGACAGATTATCATCAACAGTACTCAGTATAAAAAACTTTAAAATGTATCAATTTTTATTTTCTTTTGGGAGAATTCCTACAAGATCTTTTGTTATACCCTTCTAGTCCGCAGTTGCCACATGAAATCTTGTACTTTTTTGCATTTACTTCATCATATGGTTTGTATGCTTATATTTAAGGTCTCTCTGGATGCCTTTTTCGGTAGGTGGCTTTACAACTTCTTCAGCTATATATTGTGGCACATTCCATTTGCTTTCGTCAAGCAACGGGTCTACTGGTATTTCATAAGTCTACAAAAGGCTCTCCCTCTTATAATAAGGAGAATAATAGTTTTCATAAGACTCGTTCATGTGCCTCAAAGCCGCCAAAGCATATGCACAAGGAAGTTCATCAAGCTGGAATTGTCCACAACTACATATCTTATTTTGAAGGCAAATAATGAAGCGCTTCACACCATCTATCACATTATGGATGTAATCTGTTGAAGCCCTCACCTACAATTTCATTACAAACACACAACAAGTTGTCAGCAACAGATACAAAATAAAATAACTATAATTATACAATAACATTTCTACAATTAACAGTATATATTTAGTTTGATGGAATCAATGATCTGATATTATTGTCTATAACTTACTCTCATCTTTTGCGATAATGTCCTGTTGTCCTCCAACTCTTTGTTGTATTTTTTCCCAAGGTATATGAACGTACCCTTTGCATTCAATAATTTTTCATTAGTCCAACATTCAAGAAGAGTCCTTATGTACTCTAATAGTTCTACTACGGTCAGCTCTCTTGCATCTTTGGTTACCGCATTCAATGACTCTGCAGTGTTTGATGTCATCGTTCATGCTCTGTTCACCATAGCATGTACCCGAGATCATCTGTGATAGCCAATATTGTATAGCTATGCTTTAACACATGTGTCGATCTCTTCAATCTTTAACATTCTTTAATTAAATTCATCAAGCGTGTATGATCGTGTCGTGGCAAAGTACAATTCACTTAACTTTAGATGACCCTTCTTGAACTTTGACCTTACATTTGTCCAAATATTTCACATGCAAGCATAATGTGGCATGCTGGTATAAACAATAGATGTTGCCTTTAAGATACTCTCGTTCTGGTATGAAACAACACACATATTTGGTTTTTCACCATATGCATGTTTGAATTGCTCAAAAAACCACCTGCATAATATGTCATTTTCTGAATCAACAATGGTGTATGCTAGTGGTAATATGCTACCTAAGTGCGACAAATGCATACAAGAAATATTCATCTTCAGTCTTCTGCAATTTCACTACCGACCCTGGATAAGTCTTCTCCAGAATATACAAATAACTCGGCAAGCGACTGTAGGAATTAGCAGGATGGCCCCTCAAATATTCCAAAGCCTTTTTCTTTGCTCTCCAAGCTTGCATGTATGTTAATTTCACACCATGATCCGACAACATGTCAGTTTGTATGTCTATTGGTGTGTATATTATCTTAGGATCCGCATATTGTGGAATCACCATGCTGCCAACTACCATGGCAATAGGTTTGCGTTGTATGTATGTGTTTTCCATGAAATAGCATGTGTGTAAGCTGTTGAATTTTCGAACCTTGAACAATGCTGATTTATTTATGCTGGTGGACTTGAAGTACCATGTACACTTGTCCCCAACACATATGAGGCAGTAGCTACAGAATAAAAATAATTCAAAAAATATTATGCAAATTGTAGCTACAAAATACGAGACAGTTTATGCACAAAAACTTATCTTAAACAATTTATATACAAAAAAACTACAACTTATACACAATATGAATTTGACAAATAAAATATTCCTACCTTCTTGCACTAGACCTTTTCATCATAAATTGAAACTTACTCATGATAGAATAGTGCTTCATTGCAGTGACAATTGTTTGCTTGTATTGGTAAACTTAGCCTACTTCAATTACATTTGGCGTATATTCTGTTATGATGATACTTTCATATTTCACAATTACCGGAGATGTTTGCATATCAATCCATGTTCCTGATACTTCTCCAATTATGTTATAATTGCTTGACAATTGTACCACGTTAGTATTATGATAATCAGAAGAATCTGCACTCAATTAAAAGTATAGAAATTCAGACCTCTGTATATTCATGTGTTTAGTATTTGACAGAATGCTTGTACAGACATAACAGTTGAACTACATTTGTTATGTAGTAAAATTGTAGATAATTTTTAGTAAAATTGTAGAACACTTCAAATTGAAAAAATATCAGCACTGGAAAAACATAGCAAACCTGCAATTGTTCTCGCATTTGACATACTGCATTCCAATCGAAATCACGCACTGTTATACACAACGGACACATTCCTAAGTTTTTGTTTTTGTTTTTCGTCTCCATATACACTCGAACTCCCATATCGCTCCGAATTTCCATTGGAGGACAATGTTCATTGACAGTGTATTTGATTTCGATAATTTTGCGGAGGTATCGATCATTAGATGCTTTGCAATTGCGGAATTTAATTGACTATAATTTGAATCGTTATTGACCATAATTCTATCAACATGAAAATCTTTGTATCTTCCAATACTATCCCACCGACCATTGAACTGAAGCATAATCACTAATTTTGACATTATATCGTGAAATTCAATTCAATTGTAGCTAATTGTTTGTAATTGTTTTCTTCAAAACCTTTGTTTATGGAAAACCAGAGGAAACCAGAGAATAGAAGGACACTACAGATGTGTTGCCTTGATTATGGTGTGATGATAATCAGTAAAAATCTGCGTAATAGAAGAATTTTACAAAGATGTTGCCTTGACTATGGTACGATGATTGCGTCAGTAAAATCATTAATTGAAATATAAGCATCCCAAAATCCTGCGTCTAAATAAGGAAGACTATCGCAGAAAGAATTCTAGTTTAAATAAATGTATATATTTTATATCTAAAACATGTTTAGGCCGGATAAATTCAAAAACATAAATATTTTTCATAATAAAGTTTCAAATATTGTATAGAAAATAAAAAAAATCATTTTCTAGAATAATAGTATGAGACGTCGATCTCTATGATTTGGGCCGGTATGTCAAGCATCTTAGGCCTACAATTTTCGCAATAATAGTGGAGGATGTTCAGCAGCCATTCAACACACTGGGCCCACGCACAGTAGACTGGAAGATGGTCTCAAGAGCTTGAAGTGGCATTTTCTTTCTATAAGAATTATGGGGCACAAACTGAACCGAAAATTCGTACTTAATCGATTAAAAAATCTGGCTTGGTTTGGTTTGATTTGCTTTGATATTGAGTAAAAATATTCGAATCAAACCGACATATAAATATATAATTTATANCTCATATCATATGTTAAGATCTATTAAATTCTTATATTTTTTCGTATGTGAAGTGATGATTAATATTTAGGTATTATATTAATTTTTATGTTTAATTACTAAATTCGGTTAACGTGAAAGTGTACATCAACGAAAAATTATTGTCAGACGACTAAACAAATAACTATTATGTGTTACTAATAGAATTCTCCCATAAGAATATTTTAATCGATAATATGTTTGTCAATCTTTTATATTTTTATTAAATATAGATTTACTTATCAAATATTTAACAAAGTAAGATTGAAATAATATTTAAGTAACAAAAAATCTGAAAAACCTGACAAAATCGAACCAACCCGATCCATGTACACCCCTAACTAGAATAGATAGCTTCAAAGGATAAAGTTCAAAAATAGCCACCCCAGATATAGTGAAATATTCCAATATTAATTTTTCATTAAAAAATCTTAGAATTTTTTTAATGTAGTAAAAAAATCATAATATTTTGAGATTGAATAAAATATTGGGTACAATATTTTTATTTAACAGTCAATTTTACTATATTGCTTACCAGATAACAATATACTATTCTGACGCAATATCTATACTTATTGTTCTACTGGAGAAGGATTAATTGACAAATTATTATTGTATTAGACAATATAAATTAAATTATGCTCACGGAGATGTCAGGACGCGCTCTCAACAATAGATATGGACAAAAATAATCTCTATTTTGTTGAGCTACTGGTAAAAGGCATATTTAATATTTATACTTATTATTTACTTTTAAATTTAACCTATTACTGATGAACAATGAGGTTCTTCTGCATTAAAATACTTACTCATTATTAATAGAAGAAAGTTTCAAAATATCTAAAGAAGCTGCAAAAGAAATAGGGTTACTAAATCAGATAATAGTATTTCAGAATGCTTAGATGAGGCAGTTCTTGAGCTATAAGCTCTTCGAAATTTATTTTCAGCTATATTGGTGTATTGTACTCCAAACAATATTAGAAAGTACGACCAATAGTGTACAAATATATGATACACTCAAACTTTATCAAGTGCTAGGTGATAATGTTTCATCATAATATAGAAAAATAATTGAGGAAAAATCTATAAAAGTACATGTGGAAATTTTCAAAGCACAATCAGAGTTCGACCCCGATCAAGAGCCAGTTTTTAAAATTATATTTTAAGAAAATAACTCTAACAAAGTAGGATTATTTTTGTAGATGGACCTGAAGGAACTGAAAAATGTTCTTGTATATCATACTTTACTTGCAAAATCATGTGGTATAATAGCGTGAGTGATATCAATATGTGGTGTGTCAGTAGCTATATTACAAGTGGGTCGTACGACTCATTCAATATTTGACACACCTTTTTAAATAAATGAGATAATCATCATAAATATATTAAAGCAGAGTAATGATAATATAAGGTGAAATATCTATGATGAACCGCCATGAGTCTTAGAGATGTAATGGACATCGATGAACTATATAATTTCTATCAGGTACTCACGTGTAATTGTAAAATTGATGAGATTATAAACTTTAAATGCTAGCTTGATAAAATTATACTATAGCATTAAATGAGTGACTACCAAAAAATATACGGGCAATAAAATTTTAACGTCCAATGAGTTCAACTGCTTCAGACAGAGATGAGCATACAATTAGAGATGACTTGGTTCTTCTCAAGGTCAATTGATTTTCAAGCCTAATGGTAATAGTAGTGTTGAAGATTAATGCTTAATAAGAGATATAATTCTTATTAAATAAAAATACAAGTTGTGCAAAATATATGACTGAAAAAGCTATATTAGCTTAGCCGAAATGAATATGGCGATCAACTAAATAAAATGTTGATTGCCAATCTTTATGTTGTATATAATTTCTTAAAGATTTAATTTATTATACTTTCATATAAATACTTGACTAAAGATTTACGTGTAACATACTTACATAAAAATTAATATAATAAAAATAAGTATATATTTAAAGAGAACAATGCAAGTATCTAAATCCTAGATGTGCCACGAGATAAATTATGATTCGAATGGGAGATGAGCATTTGTATATGTTTTCAAATATTTCCTCCATCTCAATTTAAGTATCATATTATCTTTTTTAATTAAGCCAAAAAAATTATATATTTTTTATTTAAAAATAATTTTACACTAAATTTTATTTTTTGTTATTAATGAGATAATATATAGTAATATTAATATTTATGGCTCATTTTAAATTATAAATTTCATAAATTTATTTTTTCTCTTAAATTACGTATTCAATCAAACACTATTACATAAATTGAGTCGAAAGGAGCAAGGTATACTTCTAAAGTCCATCAAGACATTGTCCAGTTCCTGTCACACTTAGTGTTTCATGAAAAAATATTGTTGGAGAATCTACTTCAGCATTTGCGCGCGCACAAATTATTTATATATATATATATA